TCCTCATCCTAGTGATTTTTGCCATCTGTTTCACACCAAGCAACATATTACTTATTACTCATCATATGAACTACTACAACAACAACATAGATGACTTATATTTTTCCTATCTCATAGCATTGTGCCTGGGCAGCTTGAACAGCTGCCTAGATCCATTCCTTTACTTCCTAATGTCAAAATCACAGATCGGTCCAGTGCCTACCTGACAATTGTAAAGACACCTTAGAGACCAGTAAGATAACATCTATGTGTATGTGATACTGAGATATTTATTTCTAAGAAGTTCTATTATACATATTCATCCTATGAGGTACAAAGATATAAATATATGTAGGCTACAGTTTCTGTATTCCACATACACACAACTCTGGCAAAAGCTAGCATTTTGTTAGACATATGCTTTCAGTATGTACCTGAAGTCCACTAGTGCAACAATGATATTTGCAGGAAAATCTATAGCCAACTTTGCATCAATAATAAAATCCATATGCATGTGAGAAGTAAAAAGATTCATTTAGTCCATGACAAAGTGAATAATTATTGGTATTGGGAAGGATCATTATAAAAGTATGTTTCTGGTGTTCCTTCAGAGGGGCTGAAGATGACAAAAAGCCCCTTCCAGTCTGTCCTACCTATACAAAATTCACCTTTTTTTTAAAAAACCCTGCATTTTCCCAATTTTCTATATGGTATTCTGAACAAATGATCTTAGCTTCTTTCAAATACAAAAAAAAAATTCTATGGAGATTAACATGGAGTCTTATATACACAGATTTCAGGAATTTCATTGCGGGAAGAAGAGAAAAATATTAGATCTGATATGATAGTGTATTTAGGTCCATAAAGTCAGGGTTTAAAAAATATTATTGGGATCAATAAAAATAATAAGGCTATAATATAGGTTAAATTAGGTATATTAGCTTAGTTAGCAAATGTTCACTCCTAGTTAGAATGACAGAATCTTAGAATTAAAAAAAAACTTCATAGATAAGCTAGTCCAATCCATACCAAAATTTTAAAAATACCCTTCAATGGTATTTCCAACAAGCTGTCATCCAAGCTTTGACAAAAGATTCCCAGTGAAAGGCAACTTTACTACATTCTACTTTGAGATCACTATAATGGTTAGGAAGTTTTCTTTTCAGAATTTTTTTTTAATGGAGAAACTATTTTTGTGAGAAAATCTCAAATAAATATTTCTTACAGATACGATATATAGCTGCAAGTTGAGCCATAAATAGTAAACCTGGGCAATGGGGAATCGATACTACGAGAAGTAAATATAAAGAGGCTAAGACAAATTTTGCAGCACTAAAGATGTTTGAAAGTAGTAAGAAACATGTAATAACATGCAATATGGATTATACAACTAAGGAGAAACTAAGTTTTGACTTGTATATATTTGTGAACCTATAAACTATTTTTACTTTAACATATGTATTTCACTAGATTTTTGTGAAGGATTTGAATAAAGATATCTACACACACAAGTCATTTACAGAAATGAAAAAAAAAAGGTAAAAGACGGCCCTTGTATAAGTAAGCTGTATAAAACTGTACGGACATTATTGGGAGGTAAGCAGCTTACACCTAGAGTCCCAGTGTACTCTGAACTTCTTTATGATAATAGAGCTGAGACTGGATTTAAACTCAGTTCAAATTCAGCATTCTGATGCAGAATGCTGATAGAACCACGGTCTCTATTATGCCACATAGTTGCCTCTATAGAAAAGTATAGTGTGTGACACCATCTTTCATTTGTATCCATATCAGGAGCAACACAGCCTGTTTTAACATTAGAATTTAGGAAGTTAGAACATAAGACCCTTCAGGGTGAGGGTTGGCTCGTTTTTACCTTTGGTTCCTCAGCGCCCAGGACAGGACCTTGTCTACAGAAGGCACTGAAGGGATGCTTACTGACTTTCGTTTTCTTTGGTGCGATGTGATTATAAAAGGCGGGGGTGGGGGTGGGGGTGCCATCTCACTACAGCACCATGTCATTGGCAGAGCCAAGCAAACCCTGCCGAGTCAGCAGGCTCAATAAATTTGATCAAGGCTGGAAGAGTAGGATGAGCAAAAGACCCAGAAGTCATGGTGAAAGAGAAAGGGATGGGTGGTAGAGAGAGTGGGGGGAAAAGACTTTAATTCAGGAAGGAATTTCACAGAATCTGAGAATCACGCAATCCTAGAACTTCAAGGATCTTGTTGTTCATTCCTGTCTGACTCTACTCGACCCCATGGACACTGTCTCTGGGGTTCTTTCTTGACAAAGATACTAGAGTGGTTTGCTATTTCCTTCTCCAGTGTGTTCCCATTTTACAGATGAGGAACTGAAGCAAATACAGGTTAAATGACTTGCCCAGGGTCACATAGCTAGTAAGTGTCCAAGGCCATATTTGAACTCAGATCTTCCTGACTCCAGGATCTTACAAAACATCTATTCTGACCCTAACATTTTACAGATTTAATTAACTAGGGTTCTCCTAAAGACATCGCTGTACTTTGTATGCTTCCTCTCTTATGTTAGTTTCTCTGGATAGCTGCTTAAGGACATAAGTAAAGCAATTTCACTGGACCATGTGCAGAAAGTAAAAAAAAAAAACCATATGGTCTGCTGGTTCCTTAGACAGGGAGGGGTGGAGTTGGAGATTAACAAAATGTCAGAGTGGGTCAGTGACAGACCAGACTTAAGTCTTCTATTGCTCAAGCCAGGACCCTATTCTCATATTCCTCTTCCCTTAGGGCCTCTAAACATTACAGTGCCCTAAATCAACCAGGCCCAACACTTTCTGACAGCCTAACAGAACCAGGCACAACCACACAGCTCTGAAGGTCTGAGATATAGTCTTGAAAATGTTTGGGGCTGGCAGAATTAGGGAAAAGGTAGGCCAGAAAAAGAGTGTTAGCCCCACCAGTGCTATCTGCCCCTTCCCCCAAACCAGCTCAGGAAGGAGATAAAGAAGCAAGCAGGAAGAGATAAGACAGAGAGAATCATTCTCTTACTGGCCTCCCTCTCTGACTTCTTTCTCTCACTGTGACTGTGGTTTTCCCAAAGTCTTAGACAGGATGCTGCTCTCAGACCCTTTCTATCCATGGGCAATGGTCCCAGAATCCCCTGGATGGAGAAAGTTTCTGCTCACTGGCGAGGCTACCACAGCAGCAAACAAAGACACTCAATATTTTGACTTGTCACTTCTCTGCTCTAACTTCCCTATCCAAATCCTAGGAAAAACAAAAATGACAAAAAGTTTTCAAATTTCTATATGCGGCTCAGAGAATCTGCTTTAGTAGAGTTCCATGGATAATTCCACAGTCAAGTACGAAATACAAGGTGGGACATATTGAACATCTTTCTCCTGCAGCCCTGGATCATTCCAGAGCAGATCCTGTATCTAGGGCCTAGGAGGTGTGGTATAGGTCAAAACAAGTCTGTGTGACCAATTGTTATTTGCTAAGAATCTTCCTCAGTTGCCTTTTGCTAGATTAAAAGACTTCACTATTTTTTTTTTTGCTTTTGGGTGAGGCAATTGGGGTTAAGTGACTTGCCTAGGGTCACACAGCTAGTAAGTTTCAGGTGTCTGAGGGCGGATTTGAACTCAAGTCTTCCTGACTCCAAGGCAGGAGCTCTATTCGCTGTGCACCTACTTGCCCCGATTCACTGTTTTTTGACACATTCTGAAGAATTCCTTAGGAAAGTATTTTATAGGACCATAGGATCATGACTAGAAAGAACTCTAGAAATTGTTAAGTCCAACCTTTTAATTCATGACACAAATAGCTTAAGTAGTTTGCCTAAGGTCAAATAACCAGTTAAGGGTGTGAGGCAAGATTTGAACTGAGGACTCCAAGTCCATGTTGCTTCAGACTGGAACTCTCTGGAAGGGTCCTGGAATCCCTGCTTCTAACAGTTCTTGGTCTCTCTGGAGTTGGGCTGATCTCAGAGAAGACTCCTCCAGCAGCTGTAAGCTAGGGAGTCTATGTGCTCTCTGCTCACCTTGCTTCAACCTCTTGTACTCCCCAAGTCTTAATGAGTAATGAACCAAGGGCATGGCATGGCAAATAACCACCCACGAGCACAGATACTGGGGTTTGAGGCTCCTTATAGTGCACCACTGACCTGGGATATTGGTACACCTGGTTCACATGCTCAAAAATTCACTAAACCCTTGAGCAACCTTTGAGGCCATGGGGAAAAAGCAAGGAAGTAATCAGACTTTGTGCAAGCTATTCCCCCTGTCCAGAATATTTCCCTTCTAAGTCATAGAACCAAACCTTGACAATCTTCCAATGACTAGCTCAAATCCTCTATTTTCTATGAATGAGAAAGCCTAAACCTGGGGTTAACATTTTTGGGTGTCACATGGCTCCTCCCTTTTTTGGCAATATGATGAAGATTATAGATCTTTTTGCAAAATAATATTTTAAAATAATTAAAGGAAATGCTAAATTTCAGTTAGAGGTTAGTGGGGAAAAAATGCTTTTTTTTTTTGCCCCATCCAATTTTATGGAATCTTTGAATTCATGGACTCCTTGGAAGTCTATAGTACTCGAGTTAAGAATCCCAGGCCTAAGCCAGTAGCTACTGTCTTTGACTTTGTAAATCAACATTACACACATTTTGGCACAGAAAAAGTATGGGGCAAATGTGAAATTTAAATTGCATATGTCTTATCTACTCACAGTGAAATGCCAAGCATTTTAAGAACAGGAATGTTGCTTTCCTACCTGCTGCCCAATACCTGCCCTTCTTTTCTCCTCCCCCTGAACCTGGTACACTGCTAAGAAAAAGCATGGAGTTATCAGTCAATAACTGTTGAATGGAATTAGGAATGAACTAGTTCAGTACGATTGAGTCTGAGCACTGCTTCTGCAGACCTACTGAGGGAGCCCAGGATAAAAGATGAAAAGAAAGAACATAGCATACGTTAACAAAAAGTTTTCTGGCTTTTTCCAAAGGGCGGCGTTGCACACATAAGCAGCATGAGACGCTTTGAACTTACCTTCCTTTTTTCTGATTTGGTATTAAACAGAATGTCTTGATAGTGATAAGCATTGTCTGGGTTCACATTTCTCAATTTGGCAGCAGGTAACAACAGTGATTCCAGAGTTTTCTCAGGATTTTTTTCATCGATAGCTTTATTAATGAGCTCAATGGCAACATCTCCTAAAAAATGGGAAGGAAGATGGTTCTACTGAGAAAATGTTAGTTTTCTTTAAAAATCACAGTATATTAAATGTTTAAATATTGCAAATTCCATTCCAAAAAGAGGAAAAAATGAAATTACACATCTACAGGAATGACAATTATTTTAAAATGAATGTTCATTCCTTGAAAATTACACAATCAAGGGCTGGAGAACTTAGGCCTTGGAAAGGACCTTTGAGATTGAGTCAAATCCATCCATTTTACATAGAAGAAAACTGAGACAATGAGGTTAAGAGGAGAATCCTGGTTAATACTACCTAGTAAACTTTCACTTCATTTGACTCAATAAAAAGAAACAAACAAAAAGAACTAATACCTAACAAAAGGACCTTCCAGGTAAAGAATCAATTAAAACATTTAGAAATAGCCTCATATTAAAATAAAATTAATTTGCTTTTCAAAAATATTCCTATAACAAATGTTGGAAATTACATATCCATCCTTAATCATTTTAGAGACCTAACGGTTTATACCAAAGAATAAATTGGTATATTATGACCACTTCTGAGATTCTCTTCTATCTCACCTATCTCCATTCTAGGACTTATGATTACAGTGAGACAGAAAGCAAACAATGGACATGAGAACTTTTTATCTCTTTTTACACCCTATTCTGAGAAAATCTAGTATCATGCACACAAATTGAGGAAGGTTTTATTCCCAGGTTTTAAGGCTCATAGCCAACAACCTGGTACTAAATACTGCTGACTTATGCTATATATTTTTTAGAAAAGAAGTATCTCTAGCCTCTTTTAAAACAAAAAATGAAAACCACTTTACAAATATGAAGTGCCACAAAACAATCTCATTACTCTTAAATTTGTTTAAAACGCTGTCCTCAAGATAACCTTAAAAAAAATCGAATAAGACCTTTTCAAACTAGTTGGCCTGCCAATTTCTGGTAATACTTAAAGGAATTTAGAACCCAAGAATAAAGACATTAAAAATTAGCTACAATTTATCAAAGTATGATTAAGTCTCTGTAAATATAAACATCAATATCATCTAAGATGCAGTGTATCTCTCAAAAACAATGAGAATATATGTGAAAGTGCTTTGAAAAGTATGAAGTACCATACATATATATATGGCATGAACAGTACTTCACACAGTAGAATTGATAACCTGGGGAGCATAGAACCCTCCATCCTTCTGTTGAGTGCTTTTAACACTCCAGCAAAACAGCTGTCCTTAGTGAATCAAGTCCAATCAAATTTAAGAGTGCATTCCTGATGACTGATCACCTGGGTCATTTCCATCAAACTCCATGCCAGTTGGCTGCTGATTGAAGGTACCTGGTTAGGTTTTCTTTTTGGTGTGTTTCTAAATGTATGAGCTGGTGAGGTCATAGCAAATGACCTCACAGGAGCTGGGGAAAAAATTACCCAGAAGCCTCCTGGGCACACGTACATCACTCTCTCTCTTTGTGGTCAAAGACAAAATTACCTCTTAAAAACATTTTGGAAACCTCAGCTTATGGACTACTTATTTTAAGTAATATCTCATATAAAGAAATCCTAGTACAATAATAATTTAGGCAGCTCCATGGAATTCACTTAAATGGGATTTATTTGAAATAGCATATACACACACACACACACATATATACATACATCTATATATATACATCTATATCTATATCTATCTATCTATCTATATCTATCTATCTATATCTATATCTATATCTATGTATATGCCACAGTTAACAGAAGACCAGTTTTGAGAGAAGTTGAGCAGAGAATTGAAAGATAGAAAGGAAAAAATTCACTTGCATATACTACATGGCTAGAAATATCATTCTAATGACATGTGAACAGAAAAATAAGCTTTCTAGACTAAGGAACACAGGAGAACACAGTCAGGGAAATTTTCTTTCCAGTCTCTTCTCTATTATATCTTCAGCCCATTACATTCTAGACTTAACATCTTTTATTAGTGATTTGGCCAAGGTCATACAGCTGGGTAGAATGTAATGTTGACAACAAAAGACACTTCTTGTCCCTGGACCTTAAATTCCTTATCTGTAAAATGGAGTCCCTTCCAGCTCTATCTCATTGCAGTCTGTGACTGGAGACATATTCCTTCTTTAACAAATCATTTACTCAGTGACTTTTAAAAAAATATTCAGTGACTATTAAGCATGCTAGGTGCTTTAGATTATACAAAGGTCAAACCTACTCACAAGCAGCTTGCAGTCACAATGCATGTACGTAAGTAAAATGACATGGAACATGCATTCAGAAAGGGACGTACAAAGAACTAGAGACATGCAGGGGGCAAGAGGGAAGGATTATTTGTATCCTAATTGGGGAGTGGGGTAGAAGTAGCAGGGCAATGAAAAGAAAGAGCAAGGAAATTTGAGAGGGTTTCCTCAGAAAGGTCATGCTTTGGTTGGACCCTAAAGAAGGGTTGAAAATGATTGGGTGGTAGAGGAAACAGAATAAACAAAGATATAAGGGCAAGACCATTTAGTACTGGATGAAGAAGGCAACTTGACTGGTGCATGGTCTATGGAGTGGGACAAAAAGCTGGAAAGGTAGGTTAGAATCAAATCATAGAGCCTTGAAGGATAAGCTAAGGAGTTTGGATTTCTAAAAGCAGAGTAAAATAACTGACATGTTTTGGGCAAGTTAGTAAACATGATCAAAATTAATTTAGAAAAACTAATTTGGCCACAGTGTAGAGAATTCATTAGAGGAAGGAGGAGACTATAGGAAGGGAGAATAGTCAGCATGATATTGCCACAGTTCAGATTAATATCCAGGATGACAGAGAAAGGAACAGAAAGGAGGGAATAGCTGAAAAAGACACTGCAGAGGTAAAGATTAAAGAAGTTGGCATCTGATTGGAGGCAATGGTCAACAGTGCTCCAAGGGAAGGTAACTGCTTCCCAAAGCTGGGCATTCAACCTTCAGATTTTGTCTAAATTTGTCTTTGTCCTGTGTACCTCACATAACAATGATCACAGTGGTATATAAGCATTCAATAATGTTTGTTAAATTAGCAGTATATGAGAAAATTAAATGTGACTAATGTTTACGTGTAAGTACAATGAAATGTTATTGCCTTGCAAGAAATGACAAAGGAATTGGTTTTAGAGAAACCTGGGAAAACTTGTATAAATGGATGCAATGAAGCGAGCAGAACCAGGAGAACAATTTATACAATGACTACAACATTCTAAAGAAAGTAAATATGAAAGACCTTGGAACTCTGACTCCTTCAATGACCAATTTCTTGAGGTAATTGATGATAAATCACATTTCCCCTCTTCTGGGAGATAAACAATGGACTAGAGAGAGGTGCTGAATGAGACATGCATTTCCAGACATAGCCAATGGATGAATCTATTTTGCTTGACTGCCCTTATTTGTTATAAGGGAAAGTTTTCATTTCTTTGGAGGGGAAGGGGAAAGAGTTAAAGATACAAATGCCAAAAATGAGAAAAGAAAAAAAATGTCAATAAAGGATCTAAAGAACTTATAGAAGAGAAAAGGGGCAGGTTCAGAGGAAGACACATACAAATAGGACAGCTTTGAAACTAACATACCGAATTTATTACATACTTAAAGAAAGGAAACATGCTAGATATAATGGAGATTTGTAGTCTGATAGTCAATTCACTTTTTCTTTCCTTGTATATGAAAAGTCCTTGTGTGTCAACTTGACACACAAAAATAAATAATAACAAATATAATAATAACAAAAAAATAAAAATTATTTAAAAGCCTTTTGTAGGCCTCAGGGGGAAAATAGGTGGAGGTACCATGAATAGAAGAAGGCATCCAGAAAGAAGAGAGTTTGTGTTGTTGTTCACACTGTCACACTGTTGGTAGTAGGGTGTGTGTGTGTGTGTGTGTGTGTGTGTGTGTGTGTGTGTGTGTGTGTGTGTGTGTGTGTGATGTGTATTTAGAAAGATAGGGAAAATGATGAATTTGATTTTCTTTCTTTCTTTCTTTCTTTCTTTCTTTCTTTCTTTCTTTCTTTCTTTCTTTCTTTCTTTCTTTCTTTCTTCCTTCCTTCCTTCCTTCCTTCCTTCCTACTTCAAAACAATTTTAATGACTTTTCCCACTGTCCAACATTAGTAGGGGCCATACCAGAGTTTAGTCACCTCCTCTAGTCTTTCTGTTTAGGAAGCATGAATGCTCCAGACTGCATGGGGTATTAAAACACCCTATATGGATGCATGTGGACTGGAGAATGGGTTGCTCACGAACATCTGGAAGGGCCAGACTGGTGTAGACAAACAAATGGAGGGCCTTTTACTTCACCATACTGATTTTTCTTCTGCTTTAGGTCTGAACCCCAGAGGCGTGCTCTTGGACATAGTCCTAGGGGATTGTCCATTCTCCAAGAAGCACCAGAGATCAAAGCAATTCTGTTTCCCCTGGGTTACTGTACAATTGCCTACTGAGCTAGCAACCCGGGTCAGCATCACAGTTCATTGCATGGGACAGAGCAGGAAGAAGGCTGCTCCAGTGCCTGCTGTGAGGAACGTACTGTGATGATGCTTTCAATGAAGGAATGAAAATGGCACAAAGCAGATTCCTAGGTGTCTGGTGGCAACATCATCATTCACTGGGAGAGGCCAAGGGTTACATTTAGGGGCAAGGAAGCAGAAGGGAAGGATGAGTTTTGATTTTCAACATGCTAAAGCTGAGGGCCCAGCAAAATACTTCTATGGCAATGTCTGTCAAAAAGCTGCATATACAGGTCTGGAGTTTGGGGAGGATGTCAGTGGCAGGAGCTGAAGGGGGAGGGACAGATAGGTTCAGAGATTTAGATAGGGCATCCATAAGCATCATGTTTAATTCAACAAACATTATCCAACACCTGTAGTAGTTGCTATGCAGAGATGGTAAGTCATAAAAGGAGAGAGTACATGAAGACCAGAAAGTTGAATATACAATCTTGGGGAACAGAGTCAGACAGGAGAAGAGACAATGAGTGCGAAAGTGCATAAATAGTGAGAATCAGAAGCAATGATTATAGCCAGGAGAGCAGGGATGGTTACCAGCAGGAAGAGAAACTATAGGGAGATTAGTGGTAAATTAAAGGATCAAGGACACTTAATGGACTCAGGACACTCAATCACAAGAAAAGGACACCTAAATAGAATTTTTGGTAAAGGCGCTCAGATCCTAAGAACCTATGCATTGATAATAATAAGAACAGCAAGTTATTGAGGTAGCTTAAAGTTGGGAAAACCACTTTATATATACATACACATACTTAAACACACAGACACACACACATATATTTCATATGAGCTCCAAACAGCCCCGTGACATAGGTACTTCAGGTATTAAAGAGAGTCAGGGTGATACATCTTGGCTCTGCCATTTACTAATGTAACTCTGAATGAATCATGTAACCTCAAGGGTCGGTTGGTGGTAGGGCTGGGTTGCTTGACCAATAAGGTCCCTTTTAACCCTAAATCAGTGCCTGTGGGTACACAGGTAGTAAGTGTTAAGAGAGAGGAGATTTGAGCCCAAGACTTCCTGCCTGAGTCCAGCCCTGAGTTATGAATACAGTAAAAGCAATTTGATGGCAGATTTCCAAAATTTCTTATGAATGGAGTAGTGGTAAGACAGCTGTGCCATGCTCCAATAGGGGAGAAAACTGTAAACAAATTGGAAAAGTGGGCAGCTAGGTAGCACAATGGATAGAGCAATGACCCTGAAGTCAGGAGGACCTGAGTTCAACTCTAGCCTCAGACCAAACACTTGACACTTACTAGCTGTGTGATCCTGGGCAAGTCACTTAACCCCAATTGCCTAAAACAAAACAAACAAACAAACAAAAAAACAAATTGGAAAAGAACAAAAATGAGACATCTGATGGAGCAGTACAATATTGGTCTGTCTACATTATTCAATATCAAGGTTTAGGAAAGAAAGCTGCTCAAATTCTGTATAGTTCTGACTCATAGAAAGCTGCCAAGTACCACTTACCCTGATCAGGTCTAGAACACCTAGACCAAGTCTGAGATGAATGATTCTTGATGAAAAGATAAGGATGGATTCTCAGGCTCCATACCCATAAAAAGGGGCAAAAATATTTTGAACAGCTAGAGTAGACTAGGTCAGCATATCATTCTAAGAGAGATTTGGGAATTTCAAGGCACGGGAAGGCTCATAAGACTTAAAAATTGACCAACACCAAAAATTTCTTTAAGTGGGCAGGCATATTCCTTCAAAACCCACCAGAAAACAATGTAAGTCAAAAGCATGAGGGAAAAGATGCTGCACAACCTCTGTGAATTCAGAGAAATTAAGACAAGTTGCTGCTGACATTTCAAAGGAGGTAGCCAAGATAGAGAAGATAACAAGGGGAGAGGGGCAAATATAAGAAAATAAAGCTTACAATGTCCCACAAGGGAGCTTGGAGGTTATCTAGTACAAAATCCTCATTTTATGCATTAAGAAATTGAGGCACAGAGAGGTCAAGTGATTTTTCCAATAGTCACAAAGGACTCAGTGGCATGGCTTGGATTAGAATAAAAGTCTCCTGATTTTTATTGAATTTGATACCTATATAATCTAAAATTACATCAGCAGCTTACTCAAGGAAAGGAAGCAAAAGAAACAAGGATTTATTAAGCACCCACTATGTGACAGGCACCGTGCTAAGTGCTTTACCAATAGTGTCTCATTTGATCCTTACAACAACCCTGGGAGGTGGGTACTATTATTTTCCCCACATTACAATTAGGGAAACTGAGAAAGACAGAAGCTAAATGATCTGTTCAGGGTCACACATCTAGTAAGTATCTGAAATAAGATTTGAACTTGAGCCCTCCTGATTCTGGGTCTCGTACTTTAGCTGTGGTGCCATCGGCTCTCTCCTGGTTACTCAAGAAACTAAGTTGTAGATTGTTTCCTTGGCTAAGTAAATGTCCAATCCAATATCCGACATCCTTTACATACATTTCTATAACAATCAATGATCAAAATGATGATCGGAGCTCTACAGTCAGGAAAAGGTTACATTATATTCATTACCATGTAAAAATGTCAAACCTGGAAGGAACCTTAAAAAAACACCTAATTCAATTCTCTCCATTCACTAAGGCAAAACAAACAAACAAATAAATAAATAATGTGATAAATAGAGCAATTTCCACAAAAAAAGGCCTGAAACAAAAAAAAGTAAATAATTGCTTTAAAGGCAAACCTTCAATTATCCAGAATACCTACTTCCTCAACCACTCTGGAAAACTGAATTCAGTGCACTTACTTTCATTTTCTTCTTGAATTTCCGCATTAACCATATCAATACAATTTTGGATTTCATTCCAGCTCAAGTTATCTTGTCCTTGAGATGAGGCTTCTCTTTTAATGGACAAGAGTGTGCTAGCATAACTGTGGAAGACAAAAATCACCATAATTATATTAATAACCTTAATTTGCCTTTTGAGTTTATTTTTATACAAAATTGACTAAACTCAACATATATATATATATATGAGAATTAAATACTATATAAGAAACTATATAAGAAAAGTGAGGCAACATGGTATGTAGCTGATAGGGGCTCTGGTCTTCAACATGATTCAACAATGAACATGTATAAAATGCTAACTTTTGTAAGCACAAGGCAGTATGGGGGCCAAGGTAGCCTGAGGACAAAACAAAACAAACAAAAGTCTCTGATCCCTCAGTTTGGCTGAATATACATTATAAAAGGTAGAATAATTTAAAATCAATATAATAAGTGAGGTTGAAGCTAGAACTGTGAAGAGCTTTGGGTACCAAAGACAGCAGCTTGTATTTTATCCTAAGAGTAAGAGGGACCCACTGAAGATTCTTGAGAAGGGTGAAGACATAGTCAGGCATATATTGTAGGAACAAGTTAGCAGCTGTGTGTAGGATGACTTGGAGGGAGGATAGATTGCAACCAAGGAGATTTATTGCTATAGTCTAAGTGAGAGCTGATAAAGGACTAAATTAAGATGTTAGCCATGTCAATGAACTATGGATGCAAGAGATGTTGCGAAGATAGAATGAACAAGATAACTGAAACTGAATATACATCAAAGGGTTATCAAAAGTCAACAATAACATCATCATTTCTATAAAGCTTTAATAAAGGTTTGAAAAGCTCTTTGTAAATACAATCTTATTTTATCCTCACCACAACCCTGAGAGGTAGTGCTATGATTATCCCCATTTTACAGATTAGGAAACTGAAGCAGCAGAAGACATTTGCCCAGGGTCACATGGCCTGTAAGCATCTGAAGCCAAATTTGAACTCAGGTCAGCCTGATTCTAGATTCAATGCTTGCTATCTACTGTGCCCCCTCCTAGTTGTCTCATTACATTGAAATTAATGTAAATACTTAACAAGCAAGCATGAAGGAATTTAGGTTCAATTTTTTAGGAAAATTTTTAATTAAAAGGTCATGACAACTACTGTAATGCTGAGAGTCAGGGGAGAGGGGGAGAGTGAAGAACTGAGGATGATTACTATGTTAGAAACCTGATGGACTGAAAGGATGGATAGTGGTGACTTAGAAAAAGGAGACATTAAAGAAGGGTGTGGTGGGTTTAGATGGAGAAATAAGATGTTTCATTTTGTGCATGATGGGTGTTGCTTGTGGGATATGAAAGTAGAGATGTCAGACAGATCTGGGTTCACATCTGGTCTCTGATAAATAATAGGTTTGTGACCAGGGAATAAGTTCTTTCTTGCAACTTCTCAATGCTTCCAGGTAAAAAAAAATTAAAAACAAAAACAAAAAACTGCTCTCAATGCTTCCAGGTAAGGTGAAAGCTACAGATACATGACTTGCTTCTCTCTATCAGGGAAGTAATATCTACACACAAGTTCCCTACACCAATGAAATCACAGATCTGAATCAGATTCTCCCTCCCTCCTTTCTCTTGATCTCTGTCTTCCTGTCTCTCAAACACACACACACACACACACACACACACACACACACACACACACACCCTCTCTAGGCTTCTTCACTCCTAACTCTGCATTTTTTTTTATCTCTACCCCTTGTACTAGAAATGTCTCCACCCCAGTGGCCCTCTCCTGTGAGCCAATGAGTTCCTGCCTAGGACCACCATTTAAGAAAGTTCTCAGACCATCCATACTTACTTCTCTCAAGGCTCTGCTCCTGCCTTCTCAGAATTTTTCCACCCCCTATCTCCCCCAAACACCCTTTTCAGCTGTTTTATATATTGATAATGCCCCTTCTCCCCTCCCCTCTCCATTTGAATGTAAGCTCCTTCAAGCTATGGAAGGAGAGAGGCTGTCTGTCTTTCTTTTCTTTTCTTTTTTTTTCTTTGTATTTATATTTGTAGAATGTCTTCTGGGGTCTAGCACATAGTAAGTGCTTAATAAATGTCTCTTTCTTTCCCTCCCCTCCTCCTTCCCTCCTTTTCTCTCCTTTCCCCCCTCTCCCAATATTCCTGTCTCTCTTCTCTCTCTGTCTCATCTATCTTTGCAATTTGCAAGCAATTTGCACTTTCATATGCAATATCACATGCATGAAATTCAATTATTCTAACATTCATTTTCTTAAAAATCTAACTAAATGCCACTACCAAATTAATCTAGTGTATTCATAAAAACTTTGGTTATAAATACCATCTTATTTGATTCTCACGATAATCTCCCAAGGTAAAAAAGGTAGGTATGATTGTTATCCTCTTCATTTAACAGATGAAGAAACTTAGATCAAGAAAGTTTCAGACCTGCCCTAGGTCATAGTCCTAGTGTTAGAACTCAGGACACTAGCTTTGGGGTTGTTTTTACCACGTCATGCCACCTCTAAAGGTCACATAGTTAAAGTTGCTGTTCACTCTCTCCAAAATTCCTTGGCTCTGTTCATACATCCTACTCAAAACCACAAATGCTAAACTCATCCAAATCCTTCTCCTGCTATGTACTAGCCATGGCCCCTATGTGACTCTTAGCATATTGCTTAGTTGTCTATGTTCTCAGGCGTTTTAAACAGCAAGTCTCTTGAGAGTAGGATAACATTTTACACTGACTCAAAAAACCCACTATAGTGCTAACAGGAACATTTTGACATCAAGTTTTGCTGAATGGTACTAATTAGGATTTATGAAGAAGGGAGTCTTTCTGTGGGGTGACCTGCCACAGAAAGCTACACAGAAAGTAAAAGGCAGAAATGGGACTCCAATCCAGGTTTTCTCTCTCTAAATGCAATATTCTTTCTGGAACACCACACTACATCCTTAGAATATCTTGAGGCTTTTAAGACAAATTCTGTGGGAGAATTCTCAGGTAGCAGTCTTGGCAAATAATCTATCACTTTCTCTTCTATAACTGTACTATTATTCTATCACAAATCCTCTGTTTGAGAACTACACATCAATTGCCTCTTGTATGATCAGTAATAACAATTTGCTAAGCAGGGAGAAGGGAAAACATTTAAGAATTGAAAAAAAAATAAAATTTAATCTAAAACCTAGAAAAATGACCAGTAAAAGCCCTGAATGCATTCCAATGCACAAGCATCATTTATACCAAATTCTCTTTGTAGAGGAAAGAATAAAATTCTACACATTGAACATGCTTCTTGGTTGGTCATCAGCATGACAATGATTTCACGGGAATAAATTAATTTTCGACTATTAGAGAAAACATAAAGGAACAATATAGGACACAGAGGAATCTCATTCTATTATACACAAAGAAATGAACTGATAATCTTGCATATAAGCATAGAATGTTAGGGTTGGAATAGACCTTGCATAGGATTAATACATAGGTAAGGAGCTTTTCAAATATTACTCTATTTAATTTGTTAAAAACATTTTAAAAAAATACTCAAAAGAATTTTCAGTAATGAATTTACAGTCTTCTCCTTTCATCTCCTTTTACATGTCCTCTGCTTTGCCTTCCTCTGAATACCCTTGGCTTCCTTTAACATTTGGCTGAAATCCCACCTTTTGCAGGAAGACTTTCCTGGTCTCTCAAGCTGCTAATGCCATCCCTTCTGAGCTTGCTTTCCATCTGTTTTGAATCTATCTTGTATGAACATAAGTCTTCATATGTTTTCTCTCCAAATTAAGCTCCCTGAAGGCAAGACACATGACCTTGCCCTTCTTTCAATGCCCAGAACTTGGCACAGTGCCTGGCACACAGCTGGCACTTAGTGAATGTTGTTTTTTTTCTCTTTTGACTGTTATTCTCTTTGTACTCTAATATCCAGCTACACTAGTCTATTTTCAGTTACATGAATAAGACACTTCATATTTTATACTTATTGACCAGCAGCTACTTAAAGCTATCTCAATACATAATATGACCATTTTTAAAAGGAAAAGAGGGATTGTTTCATTGTCTTCTCACTACCTTTATCAGAAAGAGAGAATATTAAAAAAGCTATGAGATAATTTCTGCCCTCATAGTCCTTATAATCTAGGGGAGGGACACAAATTGACTGGTTTCTAATGCCTAGTTGAGAGACAACAGACAACATTTCTACTACAATGGACAGCTCCTCATGGGCCAGGTAACTTAGAAATCACCTAGTCCCCCTGTCTACTATCCCCAAATCCCTTTATACAGATGAGGAAACCAAGGCAGGGGAGTTTAAGTGACTCAAGATCAGGTGGCAAATAAGTGACTTGACTTTGTCAGATTACCCTAACTCCCTATCAGAAGGAAAGCTATGTTACAAAAATGTAATTATGAATAGCTCCTCCTGATATTTCATTTAAGAGTATGTGGTAAAAGGGAAGCTGACTCATTAACATAGCAATTTCAGGATCAGATTCTCCCACCCCCACTATCAAACCTCCTATAGCAACTATGAGGTGCTTTAGGTCCCCTTTAGAAATTACTGTCTTAGGGGCAGGTAGGTGGTACAGTGAATAGAGCACCAGCCCAGGAGTCAGGAGGACCTGAGTTCAAATCCGGCCTCAGACACATAACACTTACTAGCTGTGTGATCCAATGCATAGCAAAAAAAAAAATTCTGTCTAATGAGTTGAGATAACTTCTCTTTAGTGAAATTCTCATACAATATTTTGTATTATAAGTACAAGTGGATGGGTCACATCCCTCTCGTAGACTGAGAGGGCCATGAGGGCAGAAGTAATCTCATAACTCAAATGTTTACCTTCATCAAAGTCATACGGCTGTGGTTCTCTGAACAGAGTTTGGTACATATTATGTTTACTGAATTGGAGGTAAAGGGGTAATCATAGGAAGGACAATATGGCAGAGTACTGAATTTGGAGTTAGAAGATTTGGATTAAAATCCTTGCTATGTGACCATAGGCAAGTCAATTAAGCCATCTAAGCCTTAGTTTCCTTGTCTATAAAAAGAGAGGGTTGGACTAGGTGATTTCTCTCTCTCTCTCTCTCTCTCTCTCTCTCTCTCTCTCTCTCTCTCTCTCTCTCTCTCTCTCTCTCTCTCTCTCTCTCTCTTTCTCTCTCTCTCTCTCTCTCAACAAAGACATTTATGGTTTAACTTGCAAAGCTAGCATTTGCACACCAAATCAGATCACCTGACTCTTCAGAGACTAGAGACAAGGTCTGATTTACAGAGCTGGATTTTATAACAGAAAAGAGGAACTAAAAAAATGATAGAACCTTATTTTGAACATAAAGCAATTGCACAAGGTAGGTCACCTGACTAGTTAGTTTCTCCCAGGCTCTCTTAATCCTACCCAGAAGATTTTTTTCCTTACAGGTGGTGCCTTTTGTAACCAGAAAGTATACTGGGAAAGAGGAACTTGTGGTCAGTAGTTAACAGTCACTCCCCATCTTCCTTAGAAGACTCCATTACTCAACTTGGGCTCTAGTTCAAGAAAAAAAGCTTATCTACCAAGACTAGGAAAATGGTACTTTATCTCTGGCTAACCTTTCTCCACTTGCCAGAAGGGGGAATTTAGCCTCTGGTCAACCCCCCATTGGGGAACCCAACCTTTGGTCAACTCCTTTTTCTGCTAGAAATAGGAATTTAGCCTTTTAAAAAAAGAGTAATCCTGTGATTATTGTAAGGTATCTTATTCTAAATTATCAGCTACTAAATGATAAAATCTTCCCAATCCATCTATTCACTAAAATATAGGTAACCTAGACTTAAGAGACTATCTATGTTAGTAAGGCTTAGCTGTTAGGGCTAGCTTTTCCTAAAGAAAAGAGTTTAATCCTATAATCAAACTAAAAATAAATCAAAGTAATCAATATTAGTTGTTCTCCTTTTCACTATCTAGTTTGTAGAATAAAGGACATAGGCTTTTTATTACAACTTTAAGATGTAGTTAATTAACATGCATATGTCCAGCAGATCCCTAGGTGACCTCTAACATATCTTTCAGTTCTAGATCCTTGATTAGAGAAAGAAAAAAATTAACCAGATTTTAAAACTAGGAGAGCTGAGGCTTTATCTCCCTCTGGTGGTCACAAACATAAATGATGAAACATCCAAAGCTTAACTTTCAAGTAGCCTGGGTTTTGACTCTTGCTTTTTCAGCAATGTTTCTCAAACTTTTCACTTCAGTTTAGAGCATTAATCCAATCTACAACAGTGGCTCGTGCACCATGGTTGTCCAAGAGTGAATTTTGGGAGCGCCAAATGAAAAGAATAGCAGCTGAAGGCTGGAATCTGATATCTAAGGTCCTATTCTATAGTGTCCCAAGAAAAGGCCAAAATAAAGGCTGATATTTTCAATGTTTGCTTCTTTTCCTTTTATAGCATGATATGTGACAGGTGTTATGATATTGGTGGTTGCAGCAGGGTGAGAGGTGGGGGAAAGGTGATTGGATCCACCAATGCAGAGATGCCTTGGGCACTGAGAGGTTAATTTGATCAGGCTCACACAGGCAGTACAGAACTCAAAGTCAGGTCCTTCTGACTTCTTCTTTATAATTTTATATGACCTATGCTAATTCATAGAAAACCCAAGGTAACAACTTTACATTAAATGACATGAAATTTACATGTTAACATACGATCTTCCCTTACATCACAAACAGTTCAATTAAAATAACCCTACCTTTTGGCAAAAGGAAATATGGAGAAGACAATCTCCATCAGCATTTTTAGCACTTCATTGGCCAATTAGGCTATATAAGATCAATAAACAAAGTCTTTGAAAGGGGGCTTGACAAAAAGTACCACATCCCTGAAATCAGAGGTCCCTGGAGGAAATGATGCCAAAATTTCACCTATGCATTTAAAAAGAGCTGAAAGGAATGAAGGGTCCCTTACCGTTCCAAGTATTCTTCATCCAGGTTATTGAAGCCTATTGAAGGATTTCGGAGATGATTCTGTATAGACACAAGATCATTGCTTTCCAATGCCTGGTTGAGCAAAGCGACAGCAGACAACATTTCTACTGCAATGCATAGCTCCTCATGGGCCAGGTAGTTCTGTTAGAAAACATGTCATTGCTAAGAAGTTTCTCAGCACTACACAAAGTGTCATTTAAAAAAACCCAAAGTCCTCATTAAGCACATCTCTGCCAATTGTGCTGTTGTTAAAGCTACAGAAAACAAAATGAACAGTCAAGGAATAACAGTGCAGTCCATAATAATGTTAACAGCCGACGTTTTTACAAGGCGATTGTGAAGGCCACATTGGATAACATTGCAAGGAGCTGGGGCAGTAAGGAAAACACACCACCTTCAGATTTAGAAAGCTTTTGCAGGCATTAGCTTAGGTGATCTTCAAAATCAACCTGTTAGGTAGATTCATGTTAGTATTATTATCCTTATTTTATGGATAAGGAAACTAAAGTTCACAGAAGTTAAGGGCCCAATCAATGCATCATGACTACTTAATGTTAGAGCCATGATTAATGTTGGAGGCATGAGTGGAGAAAGGGTAGTGAAACAAGAACTGTTTTAACTGCAAAGACATGCAGAAACCACATAGGTCCATCCAATGCATCCAAAGAACCACTGGGAAGAAGGTAGCAATATTGAAGGTGCATTGTGCAGTATTCTCCATTTGGACCTTCAAAAAATCAATTTCATCCTGACTGGGTCTATCTAAAGAAGTCTGGCACTGAATGTGTCCATCAATATTGGGGGTGGGGGTGGCCTGGGGCCCTATGGAGACATTTGATCTCTTAACTCAATGCTGGAGGTCCCAGCATTTATCAGTGCTTAGGCCCAGACTCAGCATTCTGGCACCAAATGGAAATATAGATGGCTGATTAGTCAGTTAATACTGACCAGCTAGTCAACCAATAAGCTAGATGATTAGGTTAGGTGGTCTTACAAAAAGCATCATTACATACCTGTTCTCCCCCTTACTTATTCTTTAGGATTTCCTTTTCTAAGGTGACCAGTCTATATAGCAATCAGTCCAGACACTTTACTATGGACCACTCAACAGTGGAATTCTTCATAGTACTCTGTCATAGTTGTCCCATGCTCATCTGCATGGATTCCTTCTTTTCTGTTGACTGGGTAGTAGCTTGCCACAGGTAGACTGAATGTGCAATCTGTCTTCTCTAGGGTTAGGACTGAACATTATCACTCAATCTTCAATCATTATATTAAAAAAGATAGGGGAAAATATCCACCCAGACCTGGATCATGCCAGACAATTCCTCTACAAAACACATTTGGGGGGGGGGGCTGGGCAATGGGGTTAAGTGACTTGCCCAGGGTCACACAGCTAGTAAGTGTCAAGTGTGTGAGGCCAAACTTGAACTCAGATCCTCCTGACTCCAGGTCTGGTGCTTTATCCACTGCGCCACGCAGCCGCCCCTTACAAACCACATTTTAAGTGATTTTTTGTTCTATGAAAGATCTTAGCTGGAAGAATCTGGAATATGTTGGCAGAGTCAACAACTGACTTTTAAAACAGCATTGGAGGTCCATGAGGGGATGGTAAATGATTAGGTAAATTCCATTTGACACAACTGTCAACAAACCCCAAAAGGTTTAGGCCCAAAGGCAAAAATCAATATGGCCAGAGAGAATAGGGGACTCCAGAACTGGATTTAATCATATAATTGTAGTATGACAGGAAATTGCTCTCTCTCTCTCAGTTTACCCCAGAGCAGGCTGCCAAAAACACTGCAGACTTCCAAGGTTGGCCAAGCATCAAGTTACCCTTTATTACATATGATGTAATCCAACCATGCATCTGACTTGTGAGGCATGATAATACAAACACCACCCTTGATGAGTTAGTGGGTATTAAATGTTTGTTGAGTATACCACCATAGCTACTTTTTACTTCTGCTTTGAGATATTTATGCATACTACAAATACAAACTGGTAATAAAATAAGTTGTGGAATGGGAAGATAGATAGGCATTTTTCCAAATAAGAAGAAACCAATGGAACATCAAAGGCAGAAGCAAACAAATATTTGAGGGAAGAGGAAAAAAGGGAAACCATAACATTTAAAAAAAATTTATAGCCACAGTATCTAGCTCTATGGTTATGGCTATAAATTATATCCATTACTGGATCCTGAGTTGCTTGAAGAAAGGGATTGTGTTATTTTTTCATTTCTACAGCCACATTACACAATATAGTGCCTTATATATGGTAGGAGCAAAATGGTTTTTTACTTTACCACTACAGTCACCAGAGAAAAGATGGCAGGTACACATAATCAGTAAGTCTAGAAAAACCACCATCTCACAGATATAGAAAGTCAGTTATTCAAGTGCCAGGAATTTAAAAAGTAGCTGCTATTGTCATTGGGCAACTTGGTCAGCAAATACGAGCCATCTACAGATAACTCATCATTTCTACCACGGAAATTAGGAGACAGTCCCTTATAAAGACAGTCAACTTTGTTGTAAAAAATCAATAGCCTTCAGTCAGGGGAGAGGACAATAGTAGCACTGATGATCTCAGCTTCTACAGGTATGGTGAATGAGAAGAATATTCCTCCCCCACTTTCTTTTCTTTTCTTTTTTTTAAATATAAATTTATTTATTTTTAGTTTTCAACACTTACTTCCACAAGATTTTAAGTTCCAAAATTTCTCCCCATCTGGTCCCTCCCCCCACCCCAAGATGGCACACATTCTGAATACCCCTTCCCCTAGTCTGCCCTCTCTTCTATCTCTCCCCCCTTCTCTTATTCCCTTCCCCTTCTATTTCCCTTTAGGGCAGGATAGACTTCTGTACCCCATTTTCTGTACTTCTTATTTCCCAGTTGCATGTGAAAACATTTTTTTTAAACATATGGCTTTAAAACTTTTGGTTCCAAATTTTTTCCTTCCTCCCTCCCGGCTCCCCCTCATTGAAAAGGCAAGCAACTCAATATAGGTTATACTTGCAGTTGTGCAAAACACTTCCACAGTAGACATGTTGTGAAAAGCTAACTATATTTCTCTTAATCCTATCCTGCCCTCCCATTTATTCTATCCTTTCTTTTGACCCTTCCCTCCTCAGAAGTATTTACTTCTGATTATCCCCTTTCCCAATCTGCCCTCCTCTCTATTATCCCCCTGCTCTCTTGTCCCCTTCTCCCCCTATTTTCCTGTAGGGTAAGACAGATTTCCATACCCAATTGAATGTGTATGTTATTCCCTCTGTAAGCTGAATCCTATGAGAATAATATTCACTCATTCCCTCTTACCTTCCCCTGTTTCTCCCCCACTGTAAGAGCCTTTTTTTTCTGTTTTTTTTTTGTGAGATAATTTACCCCATTTTACCTCTCCCTTTCTTCTTCTCCTAGTATAATCCTCTCTCATCCCATAATTTTATTCTCCAGATATGACCCCCTTAATCTTCAACTCACCCTGTGCCATCTATCTATCTATCTGTCTATCTACATACATATAATTTTTCCCCTCCAACTACCCTAATACTGACAAAGGTCTGATGAGTTATAAATATCATCTTTCCATGCAGGAATGTAAACAGTTCAACCTTAATAAGTCTCTTATGATTTCTCTTTCCTATTTACCTCTTCATGTTCCTCCTCTTGAGTCTTGTATTTGAAAGTCAAATTTTCTATTCAGCTCTGGTCTTTTCATCAAGAATGCTTGAAAGTCCTCTATCTCACTGCATGACCATTTTTTCCCCTGAAGGACTATACTCAGTTTTGCTGGGTCCCCACTTCCTTTTCATTGTGGGGGTGGTTATCAATGTGGTCATGTGGTAACAAGGGGTTATACTACATAATCCCAGAAGGAAAAATTAGAACTAATGGTTGGAAATTCTAGAGAGGTGGATTCCAGCCCCCCAAATTGGAAATATTTCTAACAATTAGATAGGAACAGGAGAGATAGGAAATGGATCTGTGATTTCAGTAATATTGGAGCTCCTGGATAAAGAAACTCCCCTTATCAATGCAAGCTGGAAAACTGTCCAAAATTTATGGTTGTAGAGAGTTGCCTAGAGTATAGAGCGGTTAAGTGACTTGCCCAGAATGACAACAACCCTACAAGGTAAGTGCTGTTATCTTCATTTTACAGCTGAGGAAGCCAAGGCAAAGAAAACGAAGTGGCTTGCCCAGGGTGATACAGCTAAGTTAAGTGCTTGTGGCCACATTTGAACTCAGGTCTTCATGACTCTGGCCCAGTGCTCTATCCACTGCACCATCTATCAGTTACCTATCACTGAAGGCTAGACAACTTGCTGACAAAGCTTTCTAGGGAATTATTAAACAGTGTATAAGCAGATTCTATAAATGGCCTGACTGTCCTGGGTGATTTCATCCCATTCTAAGATCACATGAAAAACCAGAAGCAACATATCATCAGCTTCAGTACTGTTCTACTCTCCTAACCAAACACTCCACCCCCTCTTACATAGCCATGCCAGAGTCTTTCCAGTCTTACCATAGCATTCTGTTTCTGAAGGTTGAACAGTTCGTTCTGATACATAACAGCAGCAAAAGGATGAACAGTAGGCAGCTGGGCCTCAGGTTTCATGAGAGCGGTCAAGGTGTTACTGGGATCACTTTCTCGGATCACAGCATTGATTTGCTCAATAGCAACACGCCCTGAAGGAGAAGGATATTATAAACGGCGGTCAGAATTTCACTTTCTTTGATCTGTGCTATTTTCTCTTTATGTCTCTCTGTGATTCATGTTAAAGATCACTACTCTTTAGGGAGGGGGTGGAGCTAACCTAGTCCTTCTGGGTAGACCATACCATGTGATGCTAGAAATGGGAGACCACATTAATTTTCAACATGAATCCACAGACCAGTTAATGCCACACCCTCTAGCTTCCCAAACTAATACCTTATAGGTGCTTAAAAAGGGCTCCATCTTGGAGCTAATTTGCACTGTGCCTAAACTATAGGTCCCTGGGTTATCTGTCCTTTCCAGTCTCATGTTTCATCTCATACATGAAACCAAACCGACTATTCTGGCCTTCTAAAACTTAGTCTTCTAAAACTGTACAGAAGGACGATCTATACCTTGCAGTTTATCTCTTAATTTTGTACAGTCTTATACTGTAATCTAACATTTCATGTATGTTCATTTTGCCTGCCCAACTAAACTCTAAGCCATTTGAATGTAGGGAACCAAATCATACCTTCCCCCATTAATGTCTAAAATGTTAGTGGAACTGAATATTTGCTCAACACATGTTCTGACAGTTATGAACAGAGTTATAAACATGTTTTTGCTTTTGTTCATGTCTCAAGTGCTTAGCACAGTGCTTGGCACACAGTAAACATTAATTAAAGCTTCTTGACAAGTAAACTGACTAGTAATAGATATTTCTCAACACTTTCCTCCTATTCTTGTTTTCTACAAAGTATTTTTTTAATATTATTTTTCCAATTACATGTAAAGACAAATCTTAACATTCATTTTAAAGTAAGTATTATTTTTAAGTAAAAATATAAGCACAGATACCTTTCACAATTTTTAGATCATTTGCAAACACTTAAAAACAAAGGTTGCTGCAGCTAAGCCATATGCAATTTAAGTGTCAACTTCTTTAAATTTACTATAACAAATGCTGGGAAGACGTTGGCTTACTCAAAGAAAAAGGATCTCCAGACACAACTATAGCTTCTGGGCCTGTAGACCAGGAATAAAATCTAACAGGTTACAACAAACTAAATTTTAAGGTTTCCAGGGAGGACATTTTGGAAACATGGATTTGGCATGGTTTTCAGAGACCATGGAATAGAATGATCTGTCAACCAAGCGGAAGAGTGATTGCCGACTGGTGCCGCCAGGGAATAGAGTCAAAGACATGGTAGGACTCCATCCCTATAAGGCAGATATTCAGGCAGCCCTAATAAAACTTAACAGACAAACTTCAGACCTTTTCATCACTTGTCCTCTTGCTAACAAGCCCAGATTCCAGGCAAGATTACCTCTAACCTACCCCTGACAGATGGAAATTTATTCTCTTTCTGAAGACATCCAAAAGGAGCCTACACACTTCCTCTGTAAACCATTCCACTGTCTGACATCACTCATTGTCAGGAAATGCTTATGTCTAGTCTGCATCCAACCCAAGGCCAAAAGTTAGTCTTTTCTTCAAACAAAGAGTTATGAAAAATGAACTTCATTACTCTCAGAATGAATATGTCAAGTAAAATGACTTTGGAAGGAAACGGGGTTGCTATCCTTATATTCTATGGCTACTTCCACACTTTCATATAAGGGGCTTATTATGGAGTGAGGTTTTCAATTCTTTCTAATTCTTTAAAGGGAGAATTATGTCTTTTGCTAACTATAACATCAAAAATAATGGATTCACACACTCGGTATGGTCGAATGTTATTGAATAATCATAATCTGCATGAAAATACTAACAATATATACTCCTCTCCCACAATAAGACAAGTAATTCTGCTTTCTCTCATCATATCTTGTAGGAAAAGCAGATTACACTAAGAGAATGTAAGAGCTATGCCACGATGTTATATGAGTGCAGTTCACACCAAGCTGAAGCCTCTGGCAAATGGATTAGTTCAGATGACCATAGAAGCCTGTCACTACCTGCTGCTGGAAATTTAGAACCCCTTAAATTTATAAAGCAGTCTAACCTCTCTAGGCTGAACAATAGCTACATTGCAAAAAATTTTAAGTAAATTATCACTCACTGTCCTTTGTGAGACTTGATCGTAATACATTAAAAAAATAATTTTTTTCCTCAAAGTTCACTTTTGGCCCTGACGAACTGTACATTTTCAAATGAGGAGAGATCAAAATCTTAAGAATTTTTTTTTCTATATTAAAGCCATTGAGTCATGCAACACTGCTCAACAATCTAGTGTTCATCTGACTATTACTAGCTGAAATCATTGCACTGAGTCATGAATACCTTTTCAGTTTAAAAAGGAGGGGAAAAACGTATAAACAACTTGAAACAAATTGGAAACCAAGCGATTTAGGCAGTGAGAACATCAGCAAAATTTGGTAGACATGATGCATTTTCTTTCAAATTTGAAAAGAAAACATAATTTCTAGGATAAAATGGTGGCTTTCACTCTTCAAAAATAAATGAAGGCAAAAGGCTATTAAAGAATTTACTCACTAAGCTTATTATGAGCCTCAGATGCCTCACTGGCAACACTAATGTCTTCCTCGACTTCATTTTTGTCTAGCATAATGGAATACCCGACTTTCTAAGATATTAGAAAAAGAAACTTCAAATTAGGTTTCTTTAAGTGAATAGTTATTTGACCACTGCCATATTCACAACCCATTTTGTTGGAATAAAACAGAAAATAGTAATGTGCCCAACGTTAGGTGCTGCCTTAGAAAAAATGAACATTTCCCCCCCCAGAGACTCTCAAAAGGTTCTATATTCCTACACTACCTTTTTGCAAATGGTAGTTCTTTTTAAAATCAGCAATACAGAATTATACATAAATTTTTTTCCCCTTAACAAATATCTGAACTTTTTAATGGTACCATTAGAGTACCATTTTAAGAGCAAAGCATTCCAGTTACACTGACACACATGCATTAATCTTGGGCTTTAAGACAATGAAATACACAAGTCTGTAAAATTCATCCAAAGGTAGTACAAAGGACATACTGGGATCTGTTGAAGCTCTGGGATACGGAGGCAATTTAGATTCACTTGAGTAGAATTCAAATAAAATTCCTTACTATCACTACTGGAGCTCAGGGTGAAGTGACTTGTATTAGCAGGGGAAAAATGCAGGCTGAGGCATCCAAGCTAGCATATGCTCATTTTAATTACCCGAGTTTTCTGTTCTTTAGAGTCACAAATCTGTACTAGGAACCATGAGGAATTTAGCTGCAGGACTCCAGAAAGGTTCAGAGCTGTATGATTCAAACCTGCCATCAGTGTGCCTTCATCTTGCCTGTCAACATTCTCATTGACTTGGACTAAAGCTATATAGGCTGAAAGAAAACAGTTCTTACACTATATGAACTTATTGGAGTGGAAAGGCAGGTGCTACATAAAACAAAAGAACAACTGTCACTTTCCCATTAGAACATCATCACATTACCCTGGGCAAGCATCTGTATTCTCTTTCTCTAGCAAAAAAACAAAAATAAAAACAAAAACAACTTAAGTTTGAATCATGAAGTCAATAAAAAGATTCAAAATAGAAAAATAAATAAAAAACAGAACAAAATTCAAAGCCCCATTGTAGGTCTTCAGAAGGAGGAGTGATGGGATAAAACTGACGACTAAGAGATTAGGTTGGCTAGTGAGGGATTTTAAAAGTATAGGAGGAAAAAACTCTACTAAAAGCTTGATGAAAAATAAGCCAAACACCCACATACTACTATTAATAGCAATATAACATTTTGTATACTATTTTTCATTTTAAAAATACAATTGTGCAAGAAATCTAAGTTTTCAGAGTTTTTCCAAGTTTCAGGCCAGAGAAAGTTATGACATAGCAAATACAATTCACTTCCTTCACAAAATGATATAACTTACTGTTGATTTTATTGATGGTCCCTTGTATTTCTGCTTGTGTCAGTAGCTCTTCATATGCATCTCTTTCCTCTTCAGAAATAAAGCTATTCTGAAAAACAACATCTTTACTGATTCCCAAGGTAAAGCAAATATGTTTTAGAGAGCCAGGTAGTTAAGGTTACATTTTCTAAATGTATCAATGAATCTCATCATGCCAAATAGGTGAATAATGGATATGGAATCAAAATTTGTTTTTGTTACTGTTCAATTTTTTTTTTAAAACCACATTTACATTTGTTGTTCAGTCCCTTCAATCTTGTCCTCTTCTTCTTCAGCCCACTGGGGGTCTTCTTAGCAAAGATGTGGGAGTGGTTGGTCATTTCCTCAATTGCAACACAACTTGGAGAGAAAGTTGGACTGTGAGCCCCTTGAGGATAGGGACTATTTTTGCCTAGCACATAGTTCTAACTTGACTGATGATGTAAAAGGGGAACTTTTAAGTTCATATGAATTTCATCATCTCAGAGTTATAGACTATGCTTATTGTACAAGATTGAGACTTTTATTATCTAGGTGAATGTACTTGAGAGTAAAGTAGCTATAGGAGACATGTGGCTGTGAACACAGCTGGTTCCAGGGGTACAGAATAAACCCAGGATAAAAGGTTTGTGCATGTGGGGGAGGGAGAGTGAAATGAAGGGAAATTAAGACTTTTCATACTGCTGCATGAATTTGATACACACAACTGAATATTGAATAAGGAAAAATGTAGCTAGAATCAACGTTTTCTCAATTAACATCATGAGGATTCCATGAAAGAAGGGTTGGGAAACGATTCCAGGTCTTTCAAAGTAAAAGACTATCTATCCTTTATATTTTAACCCATATACTTTAGTTACTTTTCTTGTGATCTTCAATGGAAATACAATTTCCTCATGAAGCTTATGGGTTTGAATCCTATTCCCTCATCTCACTACACACTTTCAAATTCTTCTGTCTGTGCCTTGACTTGTTACTAAAAATCAATACTAAGTAATCCCTCAGATTTCCTCTAATTAGTGACTTTTTTTCAACTGACACCTCTACTGTATTTCCAACACATGTGAACACAGTTAACTTTGAATTCACTCAACATCTAATGAAATACCTTTAGTTTTGAGCTCTCTTCTTTTGCTTTCTTGGCTTCCCAGAGTTCCTTTTGATAATCTCGTGCGAGACTATCGTCCACAGAGGTTAAAACTGCATTTGGATTTCTCAGAGTCACAAGGGTCTGCTCGGCAATGCCCTTCTCAATGGCTTCATTAATCGCAATGACTGCAGCATGCACTGAACATGGGAGAGGAATGGGATAGAATACATGCATACATACATATATATATATATATATATATATATATACACACATATTTACATGTATGTATGTATATCAACAAAAGCAAATAACACAAATGTTTTGATAATAAAAGTCTACCCTGTTTTACCTTAAATATTGCCTGGATAAAAAGATACAAGAACTATGTTGCTTTCAACATGTTTTTACTGGCTAAGAGGTCTACAAATACTGGGAATATAGGCCCAGGGTAGCATAGCTGATAACTATCTGGAAAGACTAGAAAACAGGTTTTCTGGACTCCACACTCAGTGTCCATCCACAATGCCATATTTCATCTATGGCTGTTTGTTTTTAAGAACTACAACAATCAGGACGTTTGATATTTTCCTAGACACTAGCGTTTAATCTAATTCTCATCATAAATTTAAAATACACTTAGTGGCAAAATAATAGTTTCCTTCCTACATAATCTCAGTGATGTAAAGGAGGGAAATTGAGGCTCTGCTTAGTTTTTTGTTGCTGTTCAATTATTTTCAATCATGTCCTACTCTCTGTGACCCCATTTGGGGTTTTTGTGGCAAAGATCTTGGAGTGGTTTGCCATTTCTTTCTCCAGCTCATTTTAGCAATGAGGAAACTGAGGCAAACAGGGCTAAGTGACTTGCCCAGGGTTACACAGCTAGTAAGTGTCTGAGGCTGGATTTGAACTCAGGAAGGTGAGTCTTCTTGATTCCAAACAGTGTGCCACCGAGCTGCCCTGTGAGGCTAATAATTTATAATTTACATAGAAACTGCTTCTTAATTCTAGGATCCTTTTAATTCAGGACAATAATTTAGGGTAGCCTTAAAAATGATGTAGGTAGGTTACTGGAAAGATAAGGCATAGAGTAGTTTTCAAGGCCATTCAAATAGTACTTGTTATTGAAAGTTGTTTGTTGTTTTGTAGGGAGGCTATCAGATGTCTTACCACTTCTTCACAACCCTAGAAGTCGTAAAAGTAAAAGAAAGAAAGATGGTATCTGAACATATCTTTTCTCAGTTCCCTGCATACACTGACTTCCTCAGCTCCTTCACTTCCAACTCTTTAAAGTATCTTAAGATACTCTAAGAATTCTATTTCTTGGGCTAACGATATCCAGGAGCTTCATCAATCATTGCATACAATGGACCTATTGATTATCTCCCTTGTTCTGGATATTAGACTTCTTAAAAGCAGTCTAAGACTTATATCAATTTTTCTTTTGATACCCAAATCACATCAACAACCCATATTCATCCTGAAACCAATTAAAACTCCTTTTTCCTGTGTCCAGACCACAAGGATTCTGAAACATTGTGTGTCATGGACTCTTTGTTAGTGTATTGATATCGAGGGACCCCTTCTCAGAATAAAGTTTTTAAATGCCCCCCTAAAAGCTTAGGATTATAAAAGAAACTAATTATATTGAAATATAGCTATCAAAATATTTTTAAAAAACAAGTTCACAGACCTCAGGTTAAGAAACCCTTCTCTAGACATTTCTTTCTCATCTTACGCTGATACTTTACAAAAAAAAAATCTAAGTGCCACGTTTTAGATTTAACCCTGCTAAATTTCACCTCAATAGATGAAGCTGTTGAGGTATTTTTGGAGGCTGATTCTGTTACCCAACATATAAACTCTCTCTCTCCCAAATTCATATCCTAGCAAAACCTGTCCTCACTCACTGCTCCTACTACCTCACCTTTGATCTTATATTTCAATGTCTCAAAATCTGGCTTTCATCTCCACCACTAAAACTGTTCTCTTCAAGGTCATAAAAGAGTATTTTGTTGTTAAATTCAGACTGTATCTCAGGCCTGATTCCTTACCTTGTCTGCAGTGTTTATCACCATGGACCCACCACGGATGTCATTTCACTTCTGTTATGATTCATGATTCTCTATTTGTCTAATCTAGCAACTCCTTCTTATTACAGTATCACCACTCACCTTTCTCTTCCTTCCATAACCCCCAATACTTCTGTCCAGGGGGTTCTGTCTGTCTCTGCTTCATTCTATATTCCCTTTTTTGTGACCTGTCAGTCATTACTAAGTGCCTACCACGCACCAGACTTTGAGGATACAAAAAGAGGCAAAGGACAGTCCTTGCCCTCAAGAAACTTACAATCTAATGGGAAGCATATATATGTACAAATAAGCTATAGATAAGATAAACAGGAAATAATTGAAAGGGAAGAAACCATAATTAAGAGGGGTTGGGGGGGCAGCTAAATGGTGCAGTGGATAGAGCTCCAGCCTTGGAGTCAGGAAGACTCGAGTTCAAATTCGACCTCAGATACTTGACACTTAGTAGCTGTGTGACCCTGGGCAAGTCACTTAATCCCAATTGCCTCACCAAAAAGAAAAACAAACAAAAAACCAAAACAAAGAGGGGTTGGGAAAGGCTTCCTGTAGAAGACAGGAATTTTGTTGAAACTTGAAGGAAGTCAGGGAAGTCAGTGAACAAAGACAAGGAAGGAGAACATGGCAGGCATGAGGGACAACCAGAAAAAATGCCAGGAGCCAAGAGATGGCACATCTTGTTCATGGAAAAGCAAAGAGATCAGGGTCATTGCACTGAAAAAAATGTGGTGGGGAATAAGATGAAAGAAGACTAAAAAGGTGGTGGTAGGAGGCAATACATTATGAACATCTTTGAAAACCAGGGAAAGGATTTTATATTTGATTCTGGAGGCAAGAGGGAGCTTTAGTGAGTTGGGGAAGATGAAACAGTCAGGCCTGTGCTTTAGGAAAATCACTATCACTTTGTTGACTTTCAGATTTGCTTTTCTAACCCTCTTTCGACCTCTAATTTAATATTTCCAAATGTCATCTCAAATGTCCCATAAACATTTTAACTCAAAATGTTCAAAACTGAAGTCAAAATCTTTTCCCCCAAGCCTTGCCTCTTCCTAACATATCTATTGCTGTCAAGGGCACTGCCATTCTGCTAGTCAGTCAGCTGTCATCCTGGACTCCCCACTTTCTGTCACCCCTCACATCCAATCAATTATGAAGAACTGTGTGTTCTATATTCTTAACATCTCCTATATATGCTCACTTCTCTTCTTTGCCACTATGCTGGTACAAGCTCTTATCACTTCACCTCATGCCTATATTATTGAAACAGCCTATTGGTGGGTCTCCCGGTCTCAGATTTCTCTCCATTCCAATCCTCAACTCAGCTGTCAAAATAAATTTCCTACAAGGAGGTCTGGTTACAACAGCCTCCTATTCAATAAATTCCACCAACTCCCTATTAACTCCAGGATCAAAAATAAAAATTTCTGTTTGGCTTTTAAAGTGCTTAATAACCTGCTGTCTTCCTACTTTTCCAGTTTTATACCTTAATCTTCTCCACATATTCTGTGATCCCGGGGCACTCCCCTCTTAGCTGTTCCTTGTATTCAGTCTCCTGACTCTGAGCATTTTTACTGGCTGCCCTAGGTCTGGAACACTCTCTTTCCTCATTTCCACCTCCGTAGTTTCTCTGACTTTCTTCAAGTCTCAGCTAAAGCCTCACATTCTAGAACAAGTCTTTCCAGTCCTCCAGTGCCTTCCCTGAGACTACAGCCAATATATCCTCTATATATCTTGTTTGCAAATAGTTGTTTTCTTGTGAACTACTTGAGAGTGAGAACTTTGTTTTGTTTTGTTTGTTTTTGCCTTTTTTTGTATCCCCAGACCTCAGTGCCTGGAATAGAGTAGTCACTTAATAAATGCTAGGTGACTGATTAACTGCTAGCCATTTCAGGGGCATTGACATTTTAATAAATTATAATCCCAGCAGTTCATGTTTATAACCTTTGCATTTACTAAACACTTTTCTCAAAAGCACCAAGTGAGGTAGGTAGTACAACTAATAGTATTTCACAGGTAGGGAAACTGAGGTTCAGAGAAGTCAGATGGATGGCTCATGGTCCCATGACTATTAAGTGTCATTCCTAAGACTTGAACACAGGTCTCCTGATGCCTAGAAAAGTGTACCTTCCTTTATACCATGTTGACATTAATTCTTGAAGATCCAAAAGAATCAATCTTATATGGCAGAGCTTAAGACACATTTTAATTAAGACACATTAAGACAGGAACTGGGGAAATATTTTGGGAGCAGGAAGGGCCCTTCTATAATACTCTTCAAACCAAATCATGACAGTGGCTTCCTACTCTTAAGGACAGCCCTGGATGCCTAATGCAGGAAGGGAAAAAGTTGTTAGGCACACAAACTGATGTGTTTGTTCAGTTAAACACGCTTATTTCATTTTTTTTCAAATTCGTGTAAGCATTTTAAAAATTACAGGTGATTGGTTTTCTAAGTGAACTTTTGCCTTTATTTAAATAAAACCCAACCAAATAAGCATCAAGATGAGTCTTAAAATAACGGAAACCATAGACTGGTAAGCTTACTTACATGCAGCTTCATCCACTGACAATTCATTGGCCAGAATGCCACCAATTTTGCTAAAAGATGGCATCTGTATTCCATACTTCTCAAGTTCCTTCCTCATGTTACTGATCTCTTCCTCTGTATGAAAAAAAAAGGGAGAGAGAGAAGGAAATGTAGATCAGAGATGAAGACTTTCAAAGTTTTAATTCAAAGCAAGCATAAGCACAGATAAAAGAAACTAAGAACTATACAACTGAAGGAATAGGACAGCAGGGATCTTGGGGAATCATCTATTTTGACTTCTTCCTTTTTACAGGTAAAGAAACTTCACCTGAGAGAGGAAATGACTAGCTTTTAAAGGTCCCATAGCTAAGTTATTGCAGAGTTGGAACAAGAATTCCTAGTCGAGTAACCTTTCTCCAAATGAAGTATCTTAATAAGTGATTTGGGTAGTTTCTATATGCTTTAAGGATATAGCTCCCAATTGATTAGTCATAGGGAAGAAACTGAAAAGTGTGTGTGTATGTGTGTGTGTGTGCATGTGTGTGTGTGTGTGTGTGTATGAAACTATGTAAACAGAAATCATTATCTAGAAATTACCACAGGATATTATGGATTTTAAAAAAATACTGAAAAATACTGTAAATTCCACTGAAGTGCACTTCCAAAGCTTCATAGTAGCATGGAGATAAACCCCAGGTTCCCACAGGCTTTGCCAAAGAAGTCTCAGCTCTGGCAGATTTTTCCAGGATAGAAATATGAGCCTAATGGCATATCTGTTGTCAAAGACAGAATGGTTGAGTTTGGAGAGGCTCATCACCATGTTAGGTGCAAGGTGATGTTTTTATCATATCAACTCTCAATGACTAGCTACTAACTTATGGAGGGGTTATGATTTTTACTAGTGGAGCATCCAAAGACCATGAAATTAGATATCCTTGAAGCAAAGGAGTAATTAAGTAAATAGACTAGTACCTGTAAAGTCTACTTTGCCCAACAAATCCTGGATCTGCGGTGCTATTCCTAGTTTGAAGAGATATAAACTGAAAGATAAAACACAAATTAATCAGAAATGTTATACTTGTTATCATAGATTACAGTTTTCTATCTTAAAGAGGTCTTAGACATCACTTTGTCTCGGATCTTAATTATACATATGAAGGCCACCAATGACCTCCACTCTCCTCGTGGTTATCTTCCCTCCCAGTTTGCCTCAAAATTTCCTTCACAAGCCAAGAAACCTATATACACAATGACTACAAAAATGTAAATTGAAAGAATATCAAAAGTAGGTATATCAAAATTATAAAAATCAAGCATGACTCAAATCAAGAAATAAGAGGACATCCCCAACCCACCCCTTTATGGAGGTGAAAGGTCCATAACTGTTGCACATGGTACATGCTTCCAGTGCATTGTTTGGTTATATTGATTTTTTTCCTCTTTGATTTCTTTTCTTTCTTTTTTGTTTTCTTTTAAAAAAAAATACAGTTTGATATGGCTACCTGGGAGGGGAAAAGAGAAACATACTGGGGAAAACTAGGATGACACAGAAAGCAAAAGATATTAATAAAAACTACTAAAATTAAAAATCTTTCATTTGTATATGAAGAAATTACGGTCAAGAGAACTTAAATAACAACAGAATCTTGCATTTTATATGCTTTCCAATTAACCATCACTTTCTATATGTTCTTATTTGCTCAACACAACCCTATAGAATAGGTAGTATTATCCTTATTTTACAGATGGGGAAACTGAGGCATGGAGTAAGTTGCCCAAAGCTATACAGCTAGTAACTAAGAAAGTAGGAACTCAAATCCATGCCTTCTGACTCTAGGATCTGGGATTACAGTAAGCAGCACATCCAGCATTTGGCCACAAGATATTTCTATACCATCAATCCTTTCCTACCTGTGTAAAAAGTGATATATGGCTAAATCACAAATAGTAAATAATCACCAAAACATCAATATTTGCCTCAGCATAAATCATGTCATTCTAGTATATAAAAGAGGCGTTATGAAATATCTTTAAAAAAATAAAAAACAACCCACATGTACAAAAATATTTATAGCAGCTCTTTTTGTGGTGGCAAAGAATTGGAAATTGAGGGAATGCCCCTCAATTGGGGAATGGCTGAACAAGTTGTGGTACATGAATGTAATGGAATACTATTGTGCTATAAGAAGTGATGAGCAGGAAGACTTCAGAAAAACCTGGAAAGACTTGTATGGACCAATGCTGAGTGAAGTGAGCAGAACCAAGAGAACGTTGTACACAGTAATAGCCACGTTGTTCGATGACTAATGTTGATAGACTTAGCTCTTCTCAGAAATGCAATGATCTAAGACATCTCCAGAGGTCTCATGATGGAAAATGCTATCCACATCCAAAAAAAGAACTATGGAGTTTGAATGCAGATTGAAGCATACTATTTGCTAATTTTTTCTTCTGTTTTGGTTTGTTTCCTCTTTCTAGTGGTTCCTCCTGTTGGTTCTAATTTTTATTTACAACATCACTAATGTGAAAATATGTTTAATAGGAATGTATATGTATAGCCTATATCAGATTGTGTGCTGTCTTGGGGAGGGAGGAGGGGAGGAAGGGGGAAAAAATTTAAAAATCAAAAGCTTATTGAAGTGATTGTTGATAAATTAAAATAAATTTAAAAAATTAAAATCAACCAGTCCAGAAGCACTTATTGATTACTAAGTCTGTTAATATCAGTTTGCATTTGTTACACACATATAACTGATAATGTTAAGAAGCACATAAAACCATTTGGCAGAAAGGATGATATCAAGATAACCTTTAAAACATGGTGAAGATACTAGATGATTCATGAGTCAACAATCAGACTACATACTTTAATTCTTTTTAACCCTAAGGAATTAATCCTGCTTTTAGTTAACCTACTAATATCCATCTGTCCAAAGGGGATTAAGTTGGCCAGCCATTTTCTACCAATTCTTTCTCAGATTGATTAAATGTTTTATTTACTCAGTGGGACTGTCAGTTTTCATTTCCGGCCTTAGACCAATTTTTATAGCATCCCCACCCCTTTCATTACAAAAATTTTAATTTAGTCATTCAAATAAATGTATCTTTGTTACTATTTACATAAGATCATTCTTACTAGAAACTCAAAGGGACACAATGAATTACGTCAAAGAGGAAGCAGGGAATCTGATGAGCTGGAAATATTTTTTGAGATTTATTATTTTCAGATGTGGAAGGATGGAGCCAATATAGTCACAATTCTTTCACTTTATAAAATACTTTACTAAAAAATTGCTTAAGATCACCACAATATTCATCCAAATCAGTAAAATGGAGACCAACTTTTAAAACATAAAACTGAGGTAGTCATACATAAAAATCTGTCAAAATTTTAATGGGGGGAGGGGTGGGGGAAGGAAAAGAACAAGCAGTTATGTAGTGCCCGCTATATGCCAGCACTATACTAAGCAGTTTTTATAAATATTATCTCATTTGAGAATCATAACGATCCTGTGTATAGATACATACATACCTATATAATATAGGTACATATATAGACATACATACATATAGACATACACTTATACATATATCTGGTAGCTATGTATTCCTTTATCATTTGCTCAGTCATGGTGCCCAAAGAATTAGAAATAATGATGGGAAAACCTCAATGTGGTAAATTTTTTAAATTTTTCCTACTTCATGCATTCCAATATGAGACTCATTTCAAAGAGAAATACATATACATGTGGCTTTGTGCACAGATTTTCTAAAGTACATAGAATTATTCAGTTCATGTGCCCTTCCCCTAATCTTTATGCCTCACTCTAAATATGAACTAAGCAACTTCCACCATACACCAATATTTAAATTTTCCATTCTAACACTCAAGACATTACTAGCTATATCTGCTTATATGTCTTTTACCTTAGTAAACATGTACAGTATACTCACTTAACTAGCATTCTTGGTTTATAAAACTACAATTACCACAAGGTGGTGCTGACAAATTGTTTTTAATTGTTTGATATCTACGTTGTCCTTACTTTTTAAACTCATTCAAAATCAATGAATCCCACAGTATCTTACCACTAGAAAGGACCAAGAAAGGTAGGTAGATACCATGTTTATTTCGGTATCTTTTCCATACAGCAATGGACTCATTGGCAGTTAAATGTTTGTTAAAAAAGGACATTTATTCAAACACAATTTCACTGAAAAACTGCATATTTTAATACATGTCTTCTGATGTGTCTCAGTTTTATAGTATTTCTATTTAAGATGGCTTATGAAAGTTGAAGTTTGAGCTTTGAGATTTTAGTATACATAGGATTTTCACACTTAAAATTCTACACTGAACTAGCTGAGTTCAAGCAAATTACTCAGGAGGATAAATGTTTACTAGGAAGCCTTATTTGTTAACTATTCCCAAGCAACAACAATCCCCAATAGTTCCCCTCTCCCCTAAGCATTTTCATTCAAATGAAGCAATTAATTACCTGAAACCCTAAGCAAATCCACACAGGCTTAAAAAAAGACCCATGTCAAGTTAAAAAAAAAGAATTTCTTAAAGCCTTTCAAGAATGAATTTATTAAGAACCTTTTAAAGTTCCATGCCTCGCATGCAGGGCTGAGAGCATTCCAAAGGGGACTGACAAATTAATGATATCTTTTTTATTCCACTGTACAAAAAAGAAGGAGTTTTTGTCTAATACAAGCCTCTTAACATACAGAGCTTTGCTGGCAACAAAGCCATATGCATCTACGTGGCTGAAACTTGAATTCTATTTGTTACTATTCCTATGAATAATAGCAATTCAACTCCAGAAAACCCTTCTTATGAAAAGCCCCAAACTACAATTTTTTAAAAAATTCCATTACCACATGGACATGAAAAATGTATTGATGAAATGCAAACTTGAAAAAGCAGGGTTTAGCACTTATATACAGGTACACCTCATTATAAACAATAGTTTTCAGTCCAGAAAAAAAAATCTGTCAAGAGCACTTTTACAAATTAAAAAAAAAAGCATAAAGTCATCAAATGTGGTCAGGAGACACAAATTTCAGTATTCATTCTGTTAGCATTAAGTATGACTTTGTATCAGTCCATCTTTCTTGGCTTCATTCACTGGACTTAGTCTCTAAGATTCATTCTAACTCTAAAATTTAGTGATTCTCTATTTTAAATGCCACAGATATAGCTGGTTAATTCAGTTTCTGGATTATGGGTTTAATTTTCACGTGGGCCACTCAGGTTCATTTTATTCCATCGCCACAGACTAACCATAGACCCTAACTCTAGGCAATTATCTCCCAAAAGTCTGAAACTGATCCAGGGAACTCAGGGCTCAAGACTCTTACAACAGATTTGGTTTAAACCTAAAGACCTAGGTTTATACAGCCAAACGAACCTACTATACAAGGTCTTACCTAAAAGTGTGTTTTTTTATGAGTTTCTGTTTGTTTGGTTTTGCTTGTTTGTTTTGTTTTCATATGCAAGTGTTTTCTGAACTGGAAAACTCATAACCATGAGCTAGGATGATAGTGTTAGAGATAAAGGACAATTACTAAAAAAATTATCCTATCAAGCTCAAAAATGCATTGACAAATAGATGTTATACTTCGTATACAGAAGGCAATATATAAATTTAAAGGATCTCTGCAGTGGAGCCTTTCATGGAACACAATATTTTCTTATCTAATCATCCCTGAAATTTCTCTGATTAAAATTTTTTGAATCATCAATTTGAATTTGAATGAGGTACATTAATGGATAGATACATAGATAAACAGACAGACAGATACTATCACAAGATCATTTAACCAAACTGGATAGAAATATTATAACAGTTTGAATTCACATGCATTTCAATTAATTTTCATTTTATACTTAGCATTGCCATCTATAGGTTTAGTAATGTGACCAGAATAGTGGATTCTAACAGTCCACCCCCTCTCTTCATCATACATGAATAGATGTTATAATCCACTATTCCAGGACTGTTTTAAACTAATCTCTTTACCAAGGATGTGAAAC